GAATGGCCAATCACTGCTGCTGCTCAGCCTTCTGTCTCCGTCTTCCTTTATCTGTCTCCTTCAGTCCCTCACAGACCAAACCCCCCCCCCCCCCCACCCCCCCCCCCCCCACCCTCTGCAGCAGTGCATTGTTGTCCCATAACGACACGTTTAGACTGAGTGGTTTTTAACAACCTTTATGTGATCTTTTGTCAGGTTTTTATCTAAAGCACAATAAGCCGTGTTGTGCGCCTCTGCCCGCCCCCACTCGTTGTCATGTCGGGGATAATTCTCTCAAAACAGCGGTCAATAGTTGTAATTGCACTACKKATAATGCCAGCAGCTTGGCAGGGCACGCTGCAGCCACATTAATCAGCGCTCCATCGATCATCGCGCTGTGCCTCTCATCACAATCCTCGACTCGTTCTTTTGAATCCTGCTCAGTGCACTTGTCCGCTCCCTGCCTTCCTCCCTCTAAAACCCTTTTCGTTCCCGATCCATCACAGAGGGCGGGTGAGCCAGCGCTGGCACGAGAAGACTTGGTTCTTACCTATCAGGCCGGTGTACGCAAGTAGACACGCTCCGTAGTTCTCCTGCTTGCAGCCGCTGGCGCTCAGCTCGGAGGGTTGGCAATCATACTGGAACTGTGCCCAGCGAGACCTGTGGGAGCAATAACATGCCATCCATCATTTACTCATACTTGGCTGCTGCACACATTGTGTCACTGCAGGTTGGCCGGCACCGGTGCTTTCTCCGAACAGGACGTGCATTTGAAAACCACAAAGCTCGTCTACCTTCCCGTGTTCCGACATCAACTCCCATCGCCCATCAAGATCCCTTGTTCTGCAGAACCTCAACCCCCCCCCACCCCCCCGACAGTCGCTCCCGGTGACAGTCATCCCTCTTTATTCCGCACTTTCCCCAGCCTGTCGTCTCCTGGAGGGTTGCCAGGCGTTAAAGAGTCAATGAGGGGCAAAGGCAGGCCTCGGCTCTGCCTTCTAAATACTGTGCTGCCTGGCCGGGGAGAGATTAGACAAATATGGATCTTCCATATAAATACTTTGTCCCACAGCCTCTGTGCCGTCTATTCTTCACCTTTCCTGCCAGCCGCCCAGACATCTAGCCTCATCATCATCATACAAGGCTATCGCGGCCATCATATCGCATCATCGGCCCCCGTCGACTGGCATTTGCAACAGGATCCCCTCAGGGGCCCGCGGCTCTCTGCTCTCCCCTCGTTTGTCATGTCATTGTAATGATGTGTGTAAAACTTATAGGCTGTGTTCTAAGTGAAGGCGTCCTCTGCGGGCCGCCGGTTAATGCCAGCGGGGTGGGCGGGGCCGCGCGGAGGCCTTGAGACGCTACATCCATCGGGGGGGGGGGGCAGCTGCAGGAGAATAATGTCTGATCGATGGCTGTGACAGATGAAGCCTTTTGTTTTCCTGACATCTGAAGAGGAAGAAGATTAAACGCTGGCGACCATTCGCTGTCAGAGCGAGAGCGGTTTGACTCGATGGGTCTGAGAACTCCATGTTTTCAGTCTCCAGTGACAGAGAGAAATACATCGTCTGAATTATAATGACTTCCTACATTGTTGGTCTTCTGATTGGACGTGTAAAGAAATCTTTGTTTTCATCAGTGTCACACGGAGACAGGGATTTAACGCAGAATAAATATGCTCGTCCAGAGGGTCAGTTTTCTCGATGAGGTCTCGGCTGCACGATAACTCACATTTTCGGAGCCATGTTTGAATCCCGAGTGATAATGGCTGTTCTAATAATGACTATTTTACATGGCGGCTTGTTGCTTGGCTGCCTCCCTCGGCAGCTGAATACAGAATTTAATGGAACAACTCAAACACAGTTAATGGGTATAACAATTGAATTAATTAAACACTGCTGACTAATTGAATCTAAATGAACATTTCATACCAGCCAGACTCTTCCAAGATTCACAATCCTACTAATTGTGCTGAGTGACGAAGTTTTTTCAGCAGTTTTCTTACTAACGTAATGTTTTGGATTAAAAATCCAAAGTATGAGATGAGAGTACAGTTTGATATTTGCTCGGTGCGTTCATGTGCTGTTGCAAAGTTGGATATAGCCTCTTCTTAAAGGTAGCTAGAGCTAAGTGTCAAAGAGACTTGATACCTTCTATCTTCTAGTTGCCTCCAGTTTACAGGAATAATGTGGAATATCTGTCCGGTGTAAAACAGTCGAGAACAAGCTGAAGCTGTTAAAACATCTAACGAGACAAAGAGTTTTCAGATCAAATAAGATGCTGCACGTGTCGATGACCCCGAACAAGTGTTTGCTAACAAGTTAAACTCAATAATCGTAACTGGATCAGAGTTTATCTCTCAATTCATGTGGGAGTTCAGTCCAACATCTGTCAGAAAACATTGAATTCAGCTTTAAATCTCGGACAACAGAGCTTCAGAGCAGCGGTTTAACAACATGATTTATCAATTTTAAATGTCAGGTCGATACAGAACGACTCCGAGGAAGGTTCATCACGTGTAAAGTGCATGATTTGTAGTATCTTATATGTAAACAAAACACTGTTGTGATCCTGTAACAGAAGCTGCAGATAAACTGTCGGTTCATTGAGTCGAATGATGCCAATTTAGGAAATTAGGTGTAAAATTGTCTTGGCAGCAGGTGTGAGACATTGTGTATTTTCTACCTGCACACATAGTCCGCCTTGCAGATCCGCAGCTGAGCCAGGCAGTTGAGCTTGTCCTTGTCTTCGTAGGAGCAGGACGGCACAATGGTTTGCCTCCGGCGCTCGGCGCAGGCCGTGTCGGTGCAGGGACAGAACAGCAGCTCGTGGGTGTAGTCGGGGGGAACACGGTCAAAGAATTTCCTCAGCGCCTTGTTGCACCTTGGTCGGTTACACGGCCCCGAGCGGGCCGACGGCTGGATGCAGGCCGACACGTATTCCGTACGAAGCTTCTGACACGTCTCATCTATGTTACACGCCTTGGCGGCATCCAGGCAGCGGTTCACCGTCGTTACTTCAGATTCTAAAAGAGGACAGAGAGCATTTCATCTATCTGCGTGGTCCGACAAAATCAAATCCCATGCAATGTTTACCAAATCATGTCAGGGTCTAATTGGAGTTGGTATTGACTTGCTGCTCTCACCTCTACACTCGGACGCTGTGTTGCATTGATATACAAAAACAGAGTCTTCTTCAAGAACAAACTCAACCATAAGAATGATCATGTGTAATAAACCCTGCTGTAATGAATAGGAAATGAACGGTGTATAAATGTTGCATGAGCCCGGGCCCTGGCTGTGTTTCAGCTGAGGCCTAATGGCTGAATATTTCATTCCGGTGGGTTAATGCAGAGTGGCAGTGCTGGAAAAGCTGCTCCTCCATCTCTCCAACCGCACAACAAGGCCTGTAATTACTGCTCCTTCCCCTTCATCCATCCATCCGTCTCTCAGACATCCCCACATCTGGGTCCATCCCTGACTCACCTGACTCCCTCCTCCCTTTGCCATCTTCCTCCCTCGCTGCGTGCCTGCTTCTCTCACCCTCTCTCCATCTGTCTATTCCTGTCTCCTGTTCAGCTCTCTCTCTCTCTCTCTCTC